CAATATCAAGAGTCAATCATAGTGATCCAGTAATTCTGATGGGCTAGTTCCACTAATCAGAGATCCATAGCCGCACAGAAAGTCAAAATTTGCTAATGGGAACTAATAGGTAAACACTAAGAGGAAGGATAACACAAATAAGAATACGCAAAGGCCTTCACATCCAGTTTCTAAATGCATGATTCATTTAACAATTACATTGCAAATCTATGATGTTCGGAGAAAAAAAAGACTCACATTCAGAAATATGACCCTGTATGTGTGTCCTATTTAGGTAGCACTCTTTCTTGCCCATTAAAAAGAGAAAGAAATCACTCTTGATAGTTGATTGAGGAAAAAAAAAGGTTCTGATAGTTTCTTTCTATCATTGGAATGATTAGGATTCTGAAAATTAGAAGCCTTTTAAGTACTAATCAGTGGCCACCTTAGATGGCCTTGAACTATCAGATTTAACAGTTCATGATGCCTACTTTGAACTAACGGTTGAAATCTTCCTAGCCGAATCAAGGGTTGCAATTTTTTTCATATGTAGACAAAACTACCCTCTTTCATCTCTTATAAATATAAGTGGATTTCATGTCCTGATCATGAAGAAAATTGGATCCAAAGTTGGCAAACAACAACCCCTACCTTCAGTTTTTGCCATTTCTCTCTCTCTCTCTTCCCCCTTCATCTGTTATTCTAACCACCAACTGGAGCCACCAATAGCTTGTCTGCCAACAACTTCAACACATGTCGTCAACGTGACCGCCAACCGGTCTCTACCACGTCTAGAACAACTATCATTTCTTTCTCTCTCTCACTTCTATAAAATCCTTCTTCTTTCCCCCGTGATCAACTCTAGCCATTGTTCCTTGCAGCGATGCTGCCCGAACTATCAGCTCAACCTCTTAATCACGATCGTGACCACTACCTCTGGTAGCCTTCTTTTCCATCTATCTCCATCTTCTGCAACCATTTTAGTTGCAAGAAGAATGTCAACCATTGTTCAAGTTCTACAAATATTTAACATTTTGGGTAGGATGGACCTGTTCTAGCCTAGCCTAGATGTTTAGTTTGGGTCTAACCCACCCCTAAAAAAATAAAAAAGTATGTTGGTTCGAGATCAGGCCAACTATTATTGAGCAAAGATTGGCCCACCTTTTCTTGGGCCATGTCTAGCCATCCCATATATATATTTAATTATAATATAATAATATATTATAATATTATAATATATTAAAAAATTCAAAAATCCTTTTAATTTTTTTTTATTTTCTCGCATGTTTTTCTACCAATTTTGTTTAATATTGAGTTATATTTTTATACTATAAGATATAAATCTAGTATTAAAATACTCGGTTTCATCTGAAATATTTCTTAAAAAAATTCAAAAAATATCAAAACTTTTAAATTAATTTTCTTTTTCAAAAGATAAAAAAATATATATTTTTTTGTCATGTATACGGTTGAATCCTAAAATATTTTTTTAGCATATTTTTTTAGAAAAATTGTATCTTTCTCATGTTTTAAAAAGAAAAAATAAATTGCATATCATAACAAGTTTATGATTATCCATTAAGATTTGATCAAAATATCAAAAAACCATTTCCAATCTTTTTAAGGTTTAGATGTAAACTTTAATATCTATGGGGTGTAAAACTACATAATAGAGTACACTCTCAGATATTAACAATATAAGTTATAAAATAAATACGTTGCTAAAATTTAGACTTTACAATGATTAGAATTAAACCCGATAAGGTAAAAACTCTCACATGAAGGAAGATCTATCTTAGACTTTAAAAAGAGTAATAAATAGAAACTCGACCTAGAAAAATAATTAGACAACAATGCAATTTATCTTAGATAGGGTGCGCTACGGGTCATGCATCTTTACCTTACATGATCCAGACTTGTGCAGACTATAAATTTCTAGTGATCATAATACTAGGTGACGATTTCTGAACCTTAATCATAATTTTATGATTAGATCTAAAACCTTTCTCTTCCCAACAATAACCACACATATTTTCAGAAGGCACAATAAAAAGCCTATTATTGTCGATGGTGTCACGAAACACCCCGCAACAATACCCATAAAAAAAGCTCCACACAACTCTTTGATGTTACTCAATTAGAAAATGAATCCACTAGGATATATTTAAAGAGGTTCAATAAAAAAATATTCAAGGTGAAGAAATTAGTTAATCTAGTAGCCCTGGAGGCTTTGATAAGTGGAGAGAATAACATTTTTTATGGAAGAACTTGTATGCTCTGCTAGATAGAAGCTTGTTAAAGGTAAAACAAGCCACGAAGAATCACATATGGGTAGAAGAAGCCAGTATGTTGAGGTATGGGCTTCCTCATCTCTACCGAAAGGTTAAGATGAGAAACCTTTCAAATAGGATCGTTCTCTTACCAAAGATAATAATTCTAAGAAATGTCAGAAAAGGCCAATGAGGGAGTGAATGCAATACCCCGAGAGGAGATATATAACTCCCCTAAATTTCATCCTCACAAAAGCCTTTACAACCATCAAGAGAAAAGACTTTGTTCAATATTCATCTCTTATAGTTTCGCCTTCACACATATATACACCTCTACGAGAAGTTTTGTTTGTTCCACAAGGATTAAGGGCATGATATAGAAGATTGCTTCACTTTGAATAAATAGATTGAAAAACTGATAGTCAAGGGTTGTCTAAACCAATTTGTCAAAGAGCATACCCACTTAGAACGAGATAGAGAAAAGCTTATCCAGCCTACCCAAGCCTTACCTATGATTTAAATTTAATAACTTTTCAAATATTTATGTATTGAATACACAAAGACTTGGAGGATACTAATGGATCAACATATATATATATATATATATTTGCCTAATTTCATGTTTAAAAGGGCCAAAGGTAGGGTGATAACCTAGCATACTTAGGCTGGGTAGAATGTGAAGTCTATATGACATGAGTTTTCCTTTTTTCTAGGCCCAATATCATTGGGTTCACCTTTATGTTAAGCCTATTTACATATGGGTATAATGACTTGTCAAACTTAATATCTCTAAGTTCACTAGCATATAGGGTATGAAAAAAATATCAGACCTAACATCGTTAGTCTCATTCATATGCTAAGCCCAAGCACATGTGAGTTTGGGGAGTTACCATACCTAATATTACAAAGTTCAGCCATATGCTGAATTCAAGCACATGTGGGTCTAATAAGGTTCCAAACCCAACATTCTTGGGATCAACCACGTGTTAAGCCTAAATACATATGGGTTTGACGAGTTATCAGACCTTACATTATTGAGTTCAGCCACGTGTTGAGCTCAAATACATGAGGGTATGATGAGTTGTTAGACCCATTATTTTTAGGTTTAACGATGTGATGAGCCTAGATATATATGAGTCTAACTAGCTACGTGTTGAGTCTAAATACATATAGTTTTAATAAGCTAACATACCCATCACCCTTGAGGTTAGCATCATTCTAAGTCCAAGTGGGTTTTAATTGACAATCGTTATAGGCCTCATGTTGGGTCACGATCTCTTATTTTTTTATTCTTACAACTTTTAACATGAAATGATCATCTTCTTATACCATTAGGTATATAAAAATCTTCTAAGTACCTACTATATTTTCATTAACATTAATATTATGTAAGTAAAATATATCTCTTATTAATGCTATCAAGAGAAAAGGACATTCATCAGGGTCTATATATACCTCTTAAACTATTCAGGTAAAGGGTTTACAATTTCTATTATCTAAGCATTATATTTTTATTATCACAAAATTTATTATAAAAAAATAAGAACAAACACTATTGTTCTTAGAATTTAAAATTTATTTTTTTATTTATTGCAATTCCTTCTTAAAATCTATTAACTCTATCATCAAAAGATTCTTGAACCCCATAAAAAATAATTGTTTTACAAGTATTAGGTTTTCTACCACTAATTATTAATTTTGTGAACTACGAAGAAGGAAAACGTTCAAAAACATATTAAATTTCAAACATCATCAATAATCTTCGGTAAATATTTCCCTCTTTAATCATAAGGAGTACATAGCAATTTTTTTTTTGCTAAGGTACAAGGGAAGTACCGCAATGTGGACAATACAGGCAATAAATTTGGAGTTCTGATGGCTGATGTGTTTCTAAAAGATATGAAAGCTTTGTCCGGAATGTATTTGAGATTGCCTTGAGTTATGTCCTCGGATGCACCAAAATCTAAAAGAAATCCTGCGTTATAAGGTCGTCATGAACCAAAACAATAATCATACATAAAATGTTCAACTGTATCATGTATATACAGCAAAGAAAAAACAAATTGAAGACAGAATAGAAAGACATGAAAAAGCTGTTCATAATGTTGTTAGCTGTATCCTCTAGGGGCTGGAAGTGAATGAACGGAGAGAGGGATGCTAACAAGGCATGGGAGGAAGATGGAGAGGGACATTGTGGGGTTGGGGAAAGGGAACCAGAAAGAAAGGAAAATAGGGAGGTTTCGTTTAATTTTCCCCAGGGCATGGCGTGTTTCCAATTCCAAATGGAACAAGGCTGTGCTTGAAGATAGAAATGGAAAAATGAGATTGAATGGACGCGCTTGACCAGGTAACTCAGCTCCTCGATGCGGCCCTTCTGCAGCCGGCACAACTTGAACTTAGTTATTATTTTATATATGACACAACCATACCAACCAAGCGCCTGTAGCTCAGTGGATAGAGCGTCTGTTTCCTAAGCAGAAAGTCGTAGGTTCGACCCCTACCTGGCGCGGTTCTCCTTTTTAGACTCCCACAAGTGTTTGGGCCAGCTCCGAATAGGCCCAGTTTTATTCATACCCCCAGAAAATCCGCGACCACAAGTTTCTTTTCTTTCTGATCCAGCCGCCATCTGCACCTAGCTCTCTCGTGTAGCAAACAACAATGAAGGCTTTTGACATCAATGGCAGCAACACCCTTTCTCTCTCTCTATTCACTGATGTCACCAACTCCAAGTAATTTCATCTTATTTGTTGTTTTTTTTTTAATTTGTTGTTTTCACTTGTTTTACAAAAATAGAATGTATTGTTCTTTTCACTTGTTATTTTTATACTTTGCTTTCTTTGATGAAGTTGCAAATAGTGATGGGGGATGGAATTAGGGAAGTAGTTGGGTTTGGTTGAAATTAGGATTTGGTGTTTGAAGGTTTGTGCTCTTGGGATGTTAAGGAAGAAGTCATTTCTTTGGTAGTAACATGGAGTAAAGACTCAATTTTTATGCCAATTAAGGCATATGGTTCCAAAAAATACAGAGAAAAATTAGCTTGCGTTTAGTTGGTTTCTTTGTTTTTTGGTATTAGCAGAGGAAATATAGGGAAAATGGGATCTTGTGAAGCATCAATTCTTGGTTCTTGTTGCTTATTAATTTTCATAGCAGGCTTTATATTTAGACGGATATATTAATCAGGTGTTTATGTAAAAGCTGGTATTTCTGTGGGTCATTTAATTCTGTTGGTTATGGTCTCTAGACAATGAGAATTTCCCGTCTAGTGCTATTCAGATATTACAGATTGATATTAGTTTAGTTTAAGTACTAGCTTAACATGTTAAACGATGGGAGATGCGGGAATGTTGATAATTACGTAGCTAGAAGCTAACTGAATCTGATTCTTTAAATTGGACTGTTAGTGAAATATGGTAAGTATTAAGCTGGACCAGTTATTACATATAAATCACAGTTTATCAGCTGAGACTTGGATACGAAATTTGAATCCTTTATTGGGTCTTGACTCCCGAGAACCGAACACTGCAACTTTGAGTGTGCATGTAGTGTTCTGTCACCAAGATTTCTCATCTTTAGTGACTTTCACCAATTAATATAAATACCACTGTCTTGTCAGATGTATCCAATCTAATTTTCCCATCAGATGAGGTTACAAAATGCCCATCAGTGATTACCATCCAATACCTTTTTATAATGGCAATGAACAAGACTCTATAAGCCCTGTATTCGACTTCTTTCTTGTGATTAGATATTTGCATCGCAATCATTTTACGGCAACTTGCAACAGAAGTTTCATGAAGTCCTCTATATTGCCAACCATTGGTTATGCTTTGAGATGAAATGCCAAAGCAGCTCTTTGACCTTGTTTGTTCTGTGGAAAAAAAAATGTTTCAGTGGATTGCTCAAAAGCATTACTTTGAGCAAATGCATGAAATAGAACTGAGATTTAGCATAATAATAAGGATAAATTTTCTGCACTAAATTGAAGAAATGGCTATCCTATCAGAGTATCAGGCATCATAATAGAAAATTCTTAATTTTAGATTTGGAGCATTTTATTGAATCAGTTGTGATCTACTTGCTTCTGAGAAATATCAAGCTTTTATGTGCCTTTAGGCTCCTAATACTTGTTATCTTGCAGGGAACTTCTAGATTCTATGCAAGCTGGAAACCTAGAACCAGAAGTTGCATTTCTCAATGCATCACTTGTATGCTTCCTTACAGAAAAACCAAAACCATTTGAGTCTCTTGTTCCCTTTCTGTATCTCCTTTTTTGTAGTTCAGCCTTCCTGGTGCGCTTTGGTCTGGTTTATTTTAATGTTGCCTACATTAATTTCTATGACAGATACCAGATGTTTTTCCTCTTCTGGCAGCAGCACATAAGACTCTTATAGCCAAGTCCCGGGATTCATTGACCACACGTACTCTTCATTCTGAGCTAGTTTATAATTACTCAGGATCTAAGCATGTAATGAACCCCTTTCACTGCTTGTTGACTTCTCAAGTTTCTTTTGTTTTGAACTTAACCTTTATTCTTTTTTATCCCTAGATTACAGAATCCTTGAAAAGATGTGGAATTTCTGATAGCACCACATACATCCTCGCAGCTCGTTTCAATGCTTCTCCAGATGAGGTGAGGATTAATAATATATAAATGTTGCGGTCTCAGCCTATATATTTCATTGCTAACTCAAAGGACATCAACTGATATGTTGTGCTCATCTAATGTTACTCTATTGTAGATGAAAGCTGTTGAGAAACTTATCAATGGAAAAGAAATCGAATTAGAGGAGCTGGAGGGGAGAGCAAACCAAGCGCAAATACAGAAGGTTAGTTGGGGGTGATCATATTTGGCAATATAACACTAGTTATGTGGTTAGCTCTGTCCTGATACTGCTTCTAACTTTGTTTGATATGTTCGTCAGCACTACAAAATTCCGGGCTTGGAAGCAGGGATATCCTCTCTTGCAGATGCTATTACCTGCCGGATAGCAGCACGCGATGCCTTATAAGAAATACAGGCTACCATGTATTTTATATGTAGTTGTAGATTTCCTATAAGCTTTTTAGCTGTGTGGCTGCTTTGAATTTATAGTTGAAATTTTTGAGGGAATTGGTGCGCAGGTGGGCAGCAGCATCTTTAAGTTCCTGATTTGGAACCTAGGCATTTCAAAATTTTCAGTCATGGACTCTTTTTTAAAGTGTAAAAGATTCAATCTTGCATAAGACTTCGGTTCAAATTAATAGAGGTCTAAGGATCAAAGATCGGCCTGTCTTGAATTTAAAAGTTATGTATTTGTCGAAAATAGAAAGAATATAGAAAAATCATCCAGGAGTGAGGTGGCTTTTTTGAACTATTGAATTTGAATTTTGTTTTTGGTTTATCTTCTCATCTCAAGAATTAAAAAGAAAGAAAAGTATGTTTGGAAGTATAGTTGTATTTGTTTTTTACTTAAAAAAATATATCAATAATATTTTATAAAAATTATTTTTGAAATTAGTATATTAAAATAATTTAAAAATATTAAAAATATATTAATTTAAAAATATATTTTTTAAAAATATTTTTTAAACATAATGTAAACACCCTAGGAGTGCTAGGGATGAAAATATCAATTACTGATAGAATATTTCTTTAACTGCATTTAAAGTTCCTCTTACAACACAATCCAAACACGGGGACAACATGTGGCAGTGGATACTCGCTCCATACGAAGTAAAATGTGGATGTTTAGTTTCATGTTATAGAGTGTGTTTGGTAATGTTTAGTTTCATGTTATAGAGTGTGTTTGGTATTGTGGTAGCTGTTATAGTTATAATTTAAAAAAAGTAGAAAGTACTTTTAATTGAGGTTAGTTTGAAAAAATAGGTGTTTAGTTAAAATTAATGTTGAAATTGAGATTGAATAAAAAATAATTTAGTATGTTTGATTAAGAATGCTTTTGAAATTAAAGTTATAAAATAATTTTTAAAAATATATATTAATATTAATGATTTTTAATTTAAATATTGTGAATTTAACTATTACTATTACATCATGAAATAAATCATATTTAATGTAAAATATTTTTTATTATTCCATAAAATCATCTACAATTCCATTACATATAAAATAAATCCGACAAGAAGTATAGTTTCTATAATTTTTATAGTATATAATAAAATTAGATAAAATATTATCATATATAAATTTCATTCCAAACTAATTTTAAAAAAAATATTAAAAAACTTACCTTGAAAAAAAAAAAAAACACAATGCACGTGAACAGTATTAATACTGTTAATATTAATTGCACTGTTCATTGAACAGTGCAATTAGGTGAACAGTGCAAGAAAAGCCGCCTTCAGTTGCTTCTTTCAATCCTGCGTTCCAAACACAATGGGGCTCATGAACAGTAAGTAGTGGTTTTTCCTTTACCAAACACTAGTCTCCTGCGTTTTATTTTAAACGCAACTTTTAACGCGTAAACAAACGATCTTATAGTGTAACTGGCGATAGCCGGTGGTCTTACACATAGATTTTTTATTTGAATCAGTGTGTTAATTTAAACATTTTATAAAAATAATATTTTTTATTTTTTTATCAAACTTTTAAAGTGTAATATTAATTAAATATTCTTATTTTTAAAAACATAATAAAATAGATGTGGTTTTTCAAATAAATAATAATTAAACATGTAATATGAATCAGTAAATAAATAATAAGCAATAGCCGTCTTTATTTGTCTTTTCCTTTCTTTGCTCTGGTATTTTCTTAGCGTGATTCTTCATCTTATTTTCTTTCCTGAGGACCCATCAAACTTTATTAAAGAAGAAGATAAAAAACCATGGTGTTATCAAACCTGTAGCCTCTCTTAGCCCCTCCTCCAACCATGGTCTTGCCTAGCCTCATGGGACTTCACCACCGACCAGTGGCGGAGGCAGGGGGGGCTGGTAGGGGCCCCAGCCCCTACAGGAAATTTTTTTCCCAGCCCTCTTCCTTGTAAATATTGTAAAAATAATTAAAAATTTAACTTAATCTCCTTAATTTTTAATTTGGCCCCTTAGTTTTATTTCCTTGCTCCGCCCCTGCCACCGACCCTTGTGCCTTCCCTCGTGGGACTCACTTTTCCTAGCCTCCTCATGGCCTTGCCTCGTGACTTATCTGGCACCTGAGCTTGAAACATCTATAAGAATGACCGGGAAATGACTCACTATCTCCCAAACAAAGAGAAAGTTGGCGTTTTCTGTCATTTTATATAATAACTTACCTAAAGCAAGTTCACGATTTAATTGATGTTCCCGTTTTCTCAGCGACAGCATAAGTTAGTTTATATGTATTTTTCAATTAAATTTTTAAAATTTTAAAATTAATGAACAGATAGGCTTTTGTAATTTTAAAATTTACAACAATTAAACTAATTATTTTTAAAAAATAAATTTAAAATATGATCAATTAAATTACATCCTCTTAAAATTTAGAATTTGAAGCATCTTTTACAGAAAAAAAATTCAATATCCACTGGTTTTTTGATTTTATATATTCCGTTGGACGAGTTCTATACACCGAATCAATCCTTTTATTTTTAATTAAGAGCAATTTTAGATCTTCTATTTAGTGAAGTTATAACACATGAAATTTATTTAGTATTGAAATTTGATGTCATGAATGTTGTTCCCACTGCATACGATGCCTTGGTCTTTGTTAGAAAATTGCCCAAACATGGGAAAGATTATGAAATTTTGATGTGGGAGGTCAATAAAGATCTTCTATACAAGCCCACAGCTGCCTCCAGCAGATCAGCGTAACAAACTCCCACAACACTGAAAATTCCATATCCATTTTCTCCTCCCAATTATTCCAATCTCTTGTTCCATATTCACAGATCCCAAGAATTTAAGAACCGCAAGAAATGGGTACCTCTCGCAGCCGTGAAGGCCAAGACTTATCATCAGACACAGATTCAGAATATCAATCTGAAGAAGAAGAACCCATTTACGACTACGTAGAACACCAGGAAACCCCACAAGCCACTTCCTCGTCAAAGAAAACCCTGAATGAAATCGATTCCAAGCTCAAATCCCTCAAACTCAAATACCCTCCAAATTCCCAAACTACCATCAACCCCGTCAAGCTCTACCTTCATATCGGTGGCATCACGCCAAATGCTAAATGGGTCCTCTCTGAAAAACTCACTTCTTATAAATTCATCAAAAACAACGGCCCTGATGATTCCGATTCTGATCATGATGAAAGTCGAGGAGATGGTGATTCTTTTTGGGTTCTGAAAGTGGGGTCTAGAGTGAAAGCTAGGGTTTCTCCAGAAATGCAATTAAAAATGTTTGGTGACCAAAGGAGAGTCGATTTTGTAAAGAATGGTGTGTGGGCTTTGAAGTTTTTTAGTGATGAAGAGTATAGAAAGTTTGTTAGTTTATTTCAAGATTGTTTGTTTGAAAATGTTCATAGGCTTAGTGCCACTGAAGAAAATAAGTTGAAAATTTATTCGAAGGACTTTATCGGGTGGTTTAAGCCTGAAATAGCTGACGATTCGATGTGGGATGCGGTGGATGAGGAGGATGGTAAGAGTGGTGAGCAGCTAGTGCGTGATGATCAGGATTTATTGGAGGAGTTTGAGGAAGCCGCGAATGGGGATGTGCAAAGTTTGAGTTTAGGTGCTTTAGATAATAGTTTTTTGGTTAATGATTTGGGGGTTCAAGTTTTCAGGAATTATAGTAAAGGGATTCATGGGAAGGGTATTTGTGTGAAGTTTGATAGTAATAGGAGTGGAGGGTCTAGTTTGGAGCAGTCTACGCCAAAGAAGGCAATGTTAATGAAGGCAGAGACAAATATGATGTTAACGAGTCCATTAAAGGAAGGGAAACCACATTCTACTGGGATTAAACAGCTTGATATTGACACGGGGAAGATCGTGACTGAGTGGAAGTTTGAGAAAGATGGGACTGATATAACCATGAGAGATATAACAAATGATACTAAAGGGTCGCAATTGGATCCGTCTGAGAGTACGTTTTTGGGGTTGGATGATAATAGGTTGTGTCAATGGGACATGAGGGATAAGAGAGGGATAGTGCAGGATATTGTTAAGGGTGGCGATTCACCTGTTTTGAATTGGACTCAGGGGCACCAGTTTTCTAGAGGGACTAATTTTCAGTGCTTTGCTAGTGCGGGTGATGGGTCGATAGTTGTCGGATCGCGTGATGGGAAGATTAGGTTGTATTCCAGGACATCAATGAGGCAGGCAAAGACAGCTTTTCCAGGGCTTGGTTCGCCAATCACTCATGTGGATGTTACATATGATGGGAAATGGGTGTTGGGGACAACTGAGACATATTTAATCCTCATTTGCACTCTGTTTACAGATAAGGATGGAAAGACTAAGACTGGTTTTAGTGGTCGAATGGGAAATAAGATACCAGCTCCAAGATTGTTGAAGCTAACTCCTTTGGATTCTCATATGGCTGGTGCGAGTAAGAAATTTCATGGTGGCCATTTCTCATGGGTAAGAACACATAATTGTACATGATTTTGCTGTATGTTTTAGTTATTGCGTATATATGCCTTTTTTGTTGATTGTTATGCTCTAGTTACTGTTAATCTACAATTGTTCACTGTTGTTAATTAATATGCAGCAATCGTGTTCAATTTGATAACTCTCTGATCATTATTTAAATTCCTGTGGAATGCATTTATTGCGCCGTAAATAAGACCCTCACCACAGTCATGCTTCGTGCACTCTGTTTTCTAGCTGAAATCTCTAAAACAGCAAGAACCACCCATAAGACCATCTTAAATTTATGTGCTCTTCAAGGTTAAAGTTATTTAAATTTATTTTTAACATCAACACATTAAAACCATCCAAAAACACTAAAAAAAGATTAATTTGAAGCCAAGAAAATTTCAAATTTTAATGAAAAACAGATTAAAACTAGACTCGAAACACCCTTTTAGTTTTAGTCATCTTGGAGGCTATGCAGTCACCCATTGTGATGCATGGGTTAAAGTCACATTGGTATTGTCAACACTCCCAGTAGAGTTAACACTTCAACCTCTATGGGAATATTATCAATTTCTTTCTGAGAAGAGATCCACACAAACTTGCTTATGCAATCAAGTGTCCTAGGCAGTTTCATCATATCTTAGCAATATTATTGACAAGGTTTTCATAAGTGGCCATGTTAATTATCATGCAGGAAACCATGATATTCATGATGCAGTGATGAGGTTA